TGCTGAGGGTCTGGAATGATGCTGTAAGAGAAAAGGCTGGTGTACTGTCACTCTCCCCAACCTCTCAGCCCCCCACGTGGCATTCTCAGCAGCTGTCAAGCCTCTGGGCTTCCTTTGTTCTAAATATCTCCATGTCTTCAACTCCTGCTGCCATAGCCTCAGGTCCCCGCCTCCTTCCTGAGGCTATCCCATGCCTGGTGCCTGTCTTATAGCTTCGGACCCTAGTCCTCCACGTCCCTCTCTTCAGCCTGTGACCATGCTCAGGGGTCCCCTTTTGCCCTCACAGTTCTACTGAAAGAGAAACAATGCCAAGAACCTCCTAGTGGCCAAACCTAATGACGCTTCCTCGGCCTTCATCCCCCTTGACTTTTTGGCAGCTGACTGCCCAGTCTTCAGTTACTGACACACATGGACTTCCTCCCTGGTTTGAAAGGAAGAAGGCCATATAGAAACATATATATTATATGTTTATGATCACACAGCATATATAATTTTTGTACCCTCATTTTTTATGTAACACAAGCATTTTCCCCATATTGCTAAGAACTCTTCATTTAAGTAGCATTTTTAATGGCTTCGTACTACTCCATCCTGTAGGTCTTCTATAATCCATCAAGTTCTACCCTTTTGCTGGACATTGGGTTTGTTTCCATTTGTTATTAGAAGAAATAATGTGATAAACAACCCGGCGTAAAGGGAGGCCGCTATGAAGTGGATGGACTTCCCACCAGTCCTCTGTGTGGGAGGAAGGTCAGATCTCTTAAAGAGGAGGAAGATGATAAGGCTGTAAAACCAAGGGGATGGTAGTGGGAAGGGTTAAGAACTTAGGCTTTTAATCCTGGCTCCATCACATCTATGGAACCTTAGGCAATTTAACCTGGGTCATTTGTAAAATTGGGATATTGGTTATTCAGATTAAGTAAAAGAAGGCAAATAAAGTTTTGAGGATGGTATCTGGCACATAAAAAGTACTCAGTGACTGAGATAAAAGTAACCATCATCAACATCATCATTTTCATGCCCGCAGCTTTTTCTGAGAGCAGAAAAACTCATTCGCTCAAGCATGCACACATCAAACACATACTGAATGCCCAGTGCTCCATGTTCTCTAGAAGCTCTTGGTCAACAGGGGAGACAGAGAGCTAATGAGCTGTTAACAGTGATATTAAAGGTGCCCATTGGAGGGCAAAGATTTCTCAGAAGAGGCCCTGCTCAAATGGAATCTGTAAGGTGCAGGCCGGGGTGAGCAAAGGAGAGACAGAGACAGACAAACATTCCGAGCAGGGGGAGCCCAGGTGCCCAGGCAGAGGAATGCACTGAGAGGCAGCAAGAAGTCGGTGCAGCCTGTGCCAGGACAGGAGCTGGTGGGCAGGGGGTGGGAGGTGAGGCAGAGGCGGGACGTCATGGCCGGTTAGCGAGTCTGAAAGTGACGGAGCTCTAGGGGGCCTCAAGAAGAGAACGGCCAGACTGGTTTTCCCAGCGTGGAGCTGCTGGGTCAGATGCTGTGGACATTTCTAAGGCATGTCGCCACACTGCACTGGAAAAGAGATGGGCCGTTGTATACTTTCCCCGAAGCAACTGCTGCTCTCCCAGGAGTCCCTGTTTCTCGGAACCTCTCTTCCTTGGTTCCGGATGCTGGCTCTCCTGTCTCCTCCTCCCTGCCCTGGCTCTAGCCCCGGCCCCTCTGCCTCCTCTCCCTCCCTGATCAGATGCATCTCCCAGGGTCCTGTCCTGGCCCTCTTCTCTCCCTTGGTGAGGCCCTCACTGCCTGGGCTTCAGCTCCACCTCTGGGCACAAGACTCCTGGCCCATCCTCTGGAGTCTACACAAACCTGCAACTACCTGGAAGCCCACCACCCCCTCAACCCTGGCAGGGATTTGCCTCACAACTTTCCTAAGAAATATCCCTACCGCCTGATGTCCCTAGTGCCAATGGTGCGCCCCGACTCTCAGTCACCCAGACGCTAACCTCCATGTCATCCTTGCTCATCCCTCTCCCGCACACACCCCAGTCCAGTCTCTCCTCTCACCTATCTCCACATGCTCTCCGGACTCTGCCTCATCCTCCATTTCCAATACTGCAGCCCCACGTCTTTCCTGGGCAGTCAAGATGACCTGACAAATCAACAATGTGACTCTGGCCTCTCTCTCATGGGCACAGAGTCCCACGGGCCCTGCTGGCATACCCAACCTCCTAAAACACTGCCCTTGATCCTGTCTCCCCCTCCCCACTTAAAACCTTCACCACAGTGTAAGGCCCTGGCCTACCTCTGGCTGCCATGACCCTCCCCTTCTCGGCTCTGTTGCCCAGCATGCTCCTCCCTGCCCTCTACGCCTTAGCAGGCTGGATTACTTGTCATTTCTCATTTCTCACTAATCAGAAAACCCCTTGAGAGGCAGGACTATCACTTAAAAACACACACAATGCTTTCTAACCTTCCCCACGCATAAAGTTTTATATACAGAAAGTGCCCAATAAATATTTTATGGGAGAGAGTATGCCTGTCTTCAAGACTATGCAGGAAGAGCTTAGACAGCGGCCAGGCAGGTAACTGTGTAAAGGGGGTGACTGGGGCAGCCAAGCGATCATGGGGTCGGTGTGGCTGCCACACAGGGATCCCTGAATGGACAGCGATCTAGGAAGGCAGGGAGAGTTAAGGCAGAGGCATAGAAATTGCTCTTCCCCTCTCTCGTCAATCCATGTCTATGGTCTTTAAGATAACTTGTTATGTAAAATTATTTATTTATCTAAGATGCACCTACACTGAATTTATCTGAAAAATAAAGAAGTCAATATTAAGAAAAAAATTGTAAATGGAAGATTATAAGAGAGGGTTTCACGTGCCAGCAAAAGTTACTGGCGTGCCATGTTTGGCACGAGTGCCAGGGG